TCTCCTTTCATGCGGCAGAACTCGACACCGTTCCACAGCATTCCATCCCAACCTCATATCCAGCACTCCCAGAATGGCCCACAGGTTCTTCCTGGCAATGAATTCCCGACTCCTGCGCATAATTGGTATCCAAAACCCCACGCGATACCACAATTCCCTCAAACCACCATGTCTCAATATCAGCACCATAACCAGCCTCCTATGGCCCCTGGTGTTCTGAACCCAAGCAATATGCCCGCACCGTTTCAACGAACAGGAGACCCTGAGTTCTCTGAATCCGCCCAGTTATCTCAAACTCGGGGCCCAGTCGTCCCGCCTGCGAGCAAATTGCCTCCTCCGAAGCTTACAAGCCATTCCCTGGCACTCTTGGAAGTCTTCAAGGTCAAGACTCCCAAGGGTCCGGGTCCAGCGACGTTGGCGGCTCCCACCCAGGGTTCTTCCCACGTCCGTAAGACGTCTCAGCATCAGGATAGTCTTTTGGGTTTGCTCAAAGGTTCCCAAACTGCCCGTGTTTCCGAACCAGCGGAATTGTTAGGCAATCCTGTTGTGCCCTCTAGGGCGCCTTCGGAGAAGCAGATTCTTCAGCGTCCTCGCGAGCACCACAATCAGCCCACGCACCAGGCTGGTGCAAGTCAAACATCAGCTACCGTGTCTGGACCGTTGAATATGCCACAATTTGATACATTGGCCAAACCGCACAAGTCAAACACTGCAGCTTACCGAAAGAACCATGCGAACAGGCGAGAGCACCCCCAGCCGCAGCAGCTATCCTCGCCCATTACCATTCTATCGCGACCTCAGTCTGCCAAACGGGAGGTATCATCGTCGAGACCCGTTGCACAAGCAGCCCAGGTTTTGCCTGCGAAGCTGCCCGAAGCGCCTGAGCTTATCAAGAACTTCCAACCGCAGATTCTACGTCGATCTGAAAAACCCGGATATGAAGCATTGATGGCGACAGCTCCTCAGGCAGAAGCTACTGAACGCAAATTGAGTTTGCCAGGAGTTGATCCCCAGGGACTGGCCCCACAGGGCAACTTCGACCGTCGACCGAGTCAAACTGCTGAGCAGAAAGCCTCACTTTTGTCTCTCTTTAGCAAGGCACCTGTCTCTCCATCGCCCGTTTATGCGAGTCCCCTCGACCCCCGAGCCGTCAACCAGCAGCCAGCAGCATACTCAGGCTTTGTCAGCCCGATGTCGTCCCGCAATCGTCCGAGCAGCAGGGATTCTATCTCTCGTCACGGTACGCCCTCTGATGGTGGTGCGCACGCCAGCGGTCAGCAAGTATCCTCGCCGAGCAACAAGGCGTTCTTGCTTGGGTTCCTGGAGGGAGTGGCCAAGGGTAATAAGTAGGCCCGTGATCGGCTGATTACGAGGTTGCCCAGGTGGCTTTTTAATGGCTCCTAACTAGGCAGTCGTGGTATACATAGCAATATTATAATATTGGAACAATTATTCTTACGTTTCAAGCCCATCGGTGGAAAGTTAACAAAGTGACTTCTGGAATTGCAATAGTAGGTTGCGCATAGTTCCCTCTATAATCTTTATTTCTGCCACAATATACCGCCCAACGTCATCGGACGCTTTGTAAAGAAATAGATCAACTCACATTGGCTCCGCTACACATCAACTCAACCATGATGCGCCCGAGCCTCTCGCTCTGTAGCCGCTGCCTGGTCCGCCGCAGGCTATTCTCTACCACATCACAGCGTACCGAACAGAGCCAAAATGCCCCCTTCTCGCCGACGGCAGGGTACAGCCGACTCACGAACCGCGGACTGATCTCCGTCACCGGCATCGACAGCACAACCTTCCTCCAGGGCCTGATGACCCAGAACATGCTAGTCGCCAATGACCCGAACCGGAGCATTCGACGCACAGGCGCATACACCGCATTCCTCAATTCGCAAGGCCGAGTCCTGAACGATGCCTTCATCTACCCTCTCCCCGGCGCAGAGGCCCAGGGTGTCGACTCAGGCTGGCTAGTGGAGGTAGACAAGGACCAGGTCCCAGTTCTGCTGAAGCACCTTAAGAAACACAAGCTGCGTGCGAAGCTCAAGCTCCGCGCCCTGGAAGAAGGCGAGCGCACAATCTGGTCTTCCTGGAAGAACCACGTCGAGCCGCAGCGGTGGGCTGCATACAGTCTGGAGTCGGAATCGCCGTCGCCCTTCTCACCTACCTCCGAAATTGCCGGATGCATTGACACGCGTGCTCCGGGATTCGGGTCCCGCATTATCACGCCCGGCTCGGACGGTCTGCGCACCTACTTCCCGGATGAGTTGCAGGTCGCTGGGCCCGAGGTCCAGCTGGACTCGTACACCGTTCGTCGCATCCTGCATGGTGTTGCGGAGGGTCAGGCGGAGGTTATTAGTGGATCGGCTTTGCCTTTACAGTGTAATATGGATATGGCTCGTGGTATCGATTTCCGCAAGGGCTGTTATGTCGGCCAGGAATTGACGATTCGTACCCATCACCGTGGAGTCACGCGGAAGCGTCTTTTGCCCGTTCAGCTTTATGATTTGAGTCAGGATGGACAAAGTGCCCCTGATGCCCTCACATACGATCCATCTTTCCAATTGAATATACCTTCTGGTGAAGCGGATATTGTTAAGGCTGGGGTCACTACTCGCCGAAACCGCAGTGCGGGGACATTCCTTCATGGCATTGGCAATATTGGACTTGCGCTGTGTCGTCTGGAAGTTATGACCGATGTTGCGCTCATGGGTGAGGCTCCTGCTCGTCCTCATGAACACCACTTCAAGCTATCCTGGACTCCGGAAGTCGAACAGCCTAATGAGGTCGGAGTACGTGCCTTCGTTCCACCTTGGCTTAGAGACTTCATCTCTGGTGGCAAAGAGGAGAAACCCGCTTCCCGTAATCCTGAAGCAGAGGGTGAACGGGCGCGGGAATTTGTCGAGCAATTAGAGGAAGAGGAAGAGGAAGCGGAAGCACGCCGAGACTAAGACGTCGAAGTGTCTAATCACTACTCCTGTATTATATAACAAACACGAAACGGTATGATGTAAATAGCTCATGTATCTCTATTCAACTCAGCATTGCAAATACAACGTGTTCTAGGGTATCTCTTAAAATCTAAATACAGTGGCAAAATTTGGCTGGACCTTTTCGAAAATGCAGAAATGAAGCTAGCTTCCTTGAAGCGCGAGAACTAGGTGCCTTTCGCTGCCGCTGCTTCTGCTGCGTCTGCGGCCTCGTCCTCTCGTGTCAGTTGTTCTTCGAGGGCTTTGCGCTCCTTCTCACGCTGCGCGTTCTTCAACCGCATCATCATCACTTCCTGTAGACTAGGCGCGGCTGGAGCCTTAGTGGATGTATTGAATGACGTTGCACTTGGGGCAGCTGCCGCCGCAGATGCAGAAGCGAATGAGCCAAACGAGGGCGCTTTGTCGGATGGAGGCGCTGTTTTCAAGCTCTGGAAGTTGAATGATGGTTTAGGAGGCCTGCTAGAAGTGTCGATAGAGGGCCCTGGTGGTGCATGTGCGGGCTCGGCCTGAACAGGCTTGGATGATACATCAGGACCTAGATCAGGTTGGCTGCCGGAGGCCCAGAAGACAGACTCGATGAGGCCCCATTCGCCATCTTGACCAGCATGTTGACGAAGTTTCTTCTCGCTATCGAGAACGGCAGTGTGGGCGCTCACAATAGATGTGAAAACCACCACACCCGTGGCAACAGTCTTCTTCTCCTTCTTCTCACCGATCCGTTGACGTTTATCCTTGAGCGCAAAGGTATTCTCAATCTTCCCGAAAGGCTTGAACAGCACCGCAAGCTGCTCAATATCAAGTTCTAGCCCCCGACCCTCCCGCAGCCAGCGCACTTTCACCGCACGCTCGAGCTCAGGAACCTGCGCGCCACCACCCTCCTTCGAGCGGTCAACACGCTGGCTACTCCGATCCGCCGCTTTTCGAGCCTCCTCTTCCTGCAGCTGAATCTTCTTATTTTCATCCTCAAGCTCCTTTTTGGCCTTATCCTCAGCTTCGCGTCGTCTCCGCCGCCCATCCTCCGCAATCCTGTCAATCTCCCGCTGCAGCTTCTCTTCCGCATCCTCGTCTCCGTCTGCCGCCCACGATCTCTTGACACCCTGCTTGACACCGGCGCCACCCATTTCGGCGGCGCCTGCCCTCTCCCGCGCTTCTAGGTCTTCGCGCATCTTTCGTTTCGCCGCTCCCATCATGTCCCGCTCGCGCTGTTTGCGCTGTCGTGCTTCCCGCGCATTGTCGTACAGCTGTCGCACTGATGTGTCGGAGAGGACATCATATGCAATCTGGAGGAAATGGAACTTGTCGATGTCTGCTGCAGTGGGGTTTTTGATTTTGTCTGGGTGGTACTTTAGTGCGGTGCGTCGGTATGCGCGCCGGATCTCGGTTTCGGTGGCTGCTGGTTGGATGTCTAGTAGAGCGTAAAAATCTTGGTTTGAGGCGGCGTGCGCCTTGAGATCGTCGTTTGGCATCTTGGTGGTTTCTGCGACTGGATGTCGCCTGAGAGGTTTGCGGAGATGAAGTGGAGGGTTTTGTGTTGCGTTTTTGGACTCTGTGGTTGTTGGGTAATGGCGTAGGGTAATACAGAGCACAGAGATGGTTCCTAGGGGAGAATAACCCTAAATTCGAGCACTTGAAAGCAAGGTTGTTGTTGAGATGGAAATTTATTTGTAGGTTCAAGTTCGGAGCTTGGGCGGTGGATGTTTCGCCTCAGGCCGCCAACTGGTATACTATGAGATCCTAGTTTCAAAATGATCAGAAAATCAGAAAGTATGTTATTTACTATACTAGATTACCTAAATAAACCATTCAGTGTGCAATTTCCTCTGGTGTTGGTCTCATTCTTTTATAAAAAAAAACTTGATTGTTATTGTGGCTTGGATTGAAGGACAGAGACATAGACATATATATAATTGAGGCACGTGTATATCCCGGAGTTTCTGTTGTCTATCAGTAGTTGGCAACCTTTTTATCCCAAGCCATGACCCGTTTGAGTCCATTAACAAGATGACAACTACTTCGCCGTCTAAACCTGGTGTTATACCTCCGACCAAGCTTCAATTAGCCCTAGCATTGGCTGTTGTCAAGGGAAAACCACCAGGCCAAAGCGTGAAAGGTTAGGCGAACATGAAGTTTCTATAGACTCAGTCCATTTATTATTGACTATACATTCTAGAATACATTATGCAACTTCGACAGTTCACTAAAAAAACCAAAGATCTGGACCAAGTTGTTGCGACGGATAAGTTCTTCGACAGCGTCTCCTTCTGGCAACAAGCATACGAGCGATCCGAGGCAGAACAAAGCAATCTACAAGATCAAGTTCATGAGCTTAACGAGCGTATTGAGGGCCTTCTTGCTAAGCTGCATGCCAAAGTCATTGGAAATGAAAATGAGAGCGTGTCAGCGAACAAACGAAAGGCACCTGCTGTTGCCAAGAATGCGAATAGCTCGAATATGGCTAGGAAACGCACAAGGCTACCGAAAAGTATGCAGAAAAACATCCCATTGGACGATGATGATCCAAGAGAAGAATATGGTACTTAGTTCCCCTTTCACAAACCAGTCATCTTGATAATTAATGTCATCACAGTCTTATGTCTCAACAGACAACTGCATACCGTCCAGAAAGCCCTACAGAGAAGGGCAAACAACAGTTCTGAGTCCAATTCTCTGGCTGTGGATGCAGTCATACTCTGCAAATCTGCAGAGCAGAGACTAATCCAAACCATCCAGAATGAGACGAGTATGACGGAACAGAAACCTTCCCAAACCGAGCAGGCCAATACGCCGGATACAGATACTGTTATGAACGCTGTGACAGTTGCTTTCCATCTCACGCACAAAGCGTTGCACAAAATAGCTGGGACCAAGAATGGCATGCAGAACCAAGGTCAGGTCATCTACTACCTAGTAGGTCTGTTTGAATCAACCATGACAGCACTCACTCTGTATTGCACTGCGATATCCAAGCAAAAACCAGTCGACAAAACCAAATCGGCCAGAGACTCACAGCCAGTCACCGGAACCAATGAACAAAACAAACGTCCAAAAGAGAAGAGCTCACCTACCAATAATGAGATAGCCTCTCACCTCGCAGACCTGCTCTGCACGATGGCCCTCTCCCTCAATCTAACTTGTCCTGAAGACCAAGAGGTAATGGAAGGATTTCTCTTCCTTGTCCTCGATCGCATGGGTAAAATGATAGCTCTCCACGTTTTCCATGACCTGCGACTGCCAATGGGAATCTGCCCCGGGATGACATTCCCGGATGGATTGGAAGCAATGGTCGACGAGGGTCTTACGCCAAACGAGGCACAACTGGAAGCCAAGTATCTCGTTCGGCTTCTCGGTAGAATGCTTAATGCTGAGTCCTGTGAATCGGCCCTCGAGGCATCGGATGCTCGTCAATTTGTTGCAAATGCCAAAGATCGTCTGCAAAAGACTCTCCTCCGGGCTGTATTCGGACCTGATGATCGTTTGTTTCAGGAGGGTCTACGGCGTCCGCATACCCCACCTCCTCAGGTACTTGATGGCCAACAGGTGGATCAGGAGAAGTTTTCGGATTGGCTTACACAGGAGCTGTGGCAGCTTGTTGGTTGGGATGTGTTGAGGACTGTGCTTGCTCCAACCTAAAGCCCCGGGTGATGGAATTTGTGCTCATGGCACTATATTCGTTTTACGTTCGTTTCCCTTTATTGCCTTATACCCCAGTTGTTATTGATGTGATTATATCTTCAGAGCAGTATAACGATATTTATGCTAGATAGTATAGGTGCTTATTCGAGTTTCAAAATACGAGCAGCATTGCCACCCAAAACAGCAGCCACAACCTCTTTTTCACCCTCGAAAGTCGCATCAATAGCCTTATAGTTGGTCGTCACACTGATCCATTCCTTCTCACCCTCATTCAAAGGTGGGAAGAATGGATGATCGGTACCTGTGAAATATATTAGCTTGATGCAGTCCCAAGCATACCAATGATAGAACTAGAAAACCTACCAAACATAAGACGATCAGTACCTCCCCCAGCAGCAACAGCAGCCTTAAGCCCAGCAGTCCCATAAACAACAGCATCAAGGAATATATTCGTTTTCAAAACCTCCCAAATACTCCTCTGCGGGCCAGGAACGTCACCACCATGCTCCACAAACTTCCGTTCATGCATAATACAGCTCTCGATGCGTCCCGCCAAAAACGGCAAAGTACCACCCGAATGCGCCAGCAAGATCTGCAGCCGCGGGAACTTGTCAAACACACGAGACAGTAGCATGCGAGTAACCGCAATGGTAGTCTCGAGCGGGAACCCAAGAGCCAGAGGGAGGACATGACCGTAGCGCTTTGTCACCTCAGCACCGCCAAACGCCTCATCAGGCAGACCATAATGAGGATGCAAAAAGAGAAGGAACTGCGTTTCCTCCAGCGCAGCCCAAACCGGACCGAGCTGTTCATCATCGAGACCATTTCCCAATCCTGAAGTCCCCATAATCACACCACGGATATGAGGCAGGGTCTTAAGTCTCTTGATTTCATCAACGATGATGTTTGCACTGGGAGCGCTCAGCGGCAAAGTCGCAAATGCAAATAAGGTCGATCTCCCCTGCAGAGGGAGAGTGTTGTCCGGATTCGAGGATTTATTGTTCTGGGCACAGGTTTCCTCTAGATCGTTGTTGATGCGCTCGGCCCATTGTTGGGCTTCGGTGGGATCGAGGAAGTCTAACCAGGGATTTGCGAGAGAGATCACGCTGCAGTCAATGCCATGCTGTTTCATGAAGGTTAGTTTGACGTTGATGTCGGAGTAGGACGTGTCGACGGGGCGGCCGCGCTCGTCGATTGGAATTGATGGGTCATCGTCTGATGAGAGGATTATCAGGCGTGGTTCTCCGCTCGCTGGATCGTGGATGTACGGGACTGTTTTGCGAGCGCGTAGCATCGCCATGTATGATGGAGGGTAGACATGGGTGTGGACGTCGACTACTAGTGGACGAGACATGTTTGGAATATGCAGATGGAATAGGATTAATTGCAAGAGAAAGGGAAGAGAGGAATAGTAGAGATGGGTTAGCCAAGTGAGGGGATAGTCGCACTCCGTACATACAACATAGATAAGAGCTGCGAAGCGGGGATGCCCCTCTCCACCTGGAGGATTCCCCAGGTGATGTTACAATTTCTTTATCTCAGATAAGTCTGCTCGTCTTTTGATGTTACGTATTTTTATGTTAAGAATTGCAATTTGAAGAGATATACATAGTTTCTCATTAGACAAGCCAAGGCCTTTCAAAATTCGATCGTCATAATCCAATCTCATTTCATTCATTGATTTGCAACATGGAATAGTCACTGTACATCAATTTCAGCACTCAGACCATCATCAGCACGAAATTGCACATACATTCTCGATCACTAATCACAGCTGAGAACCAGCCAAAGTGACAGGCTTCACGTTGGTGAAGTTGGGGATATCGTCAAATACCCCCGCAGAGCCAGGGTCCTGCAGAGCAGCCTGCAGGGACTCCTGGCTCTCCCACTCAAGGGTGGCCATGATCAGAAACTGAGACGGGGAGCCATCGAACGCGGTGGGGAACTTGGTGATACGCCAGCTGATCAGGCCATAGCTCTTCCAGGTGCTTTCGACATGTGGCATGTGGGTTTTGATGTAGTAGGACTCGTCAAACTTGATGTCGGCCTTGTTGGGGTACATAACAATGGCAGTGTAAGTCATTGTGGCGGTTAGGAAATTTATTCGAGGAAAAAGAAAGAGATGATGTATATTTCGAAGGAAGAGAAATAGAAATGCAATGGAATGTTTTGGAGCTGTGACTTCTTAATCGAGCTTATTAATAGGTTGAGGTGGAATGTTCGTGAGGTGGGCCGAGTGACTTCCCAACCTGTGCGATTGTGTACATCCTCGGCTCAACGCACGTTGGGAGTTGGGGTGTTGAGTGGAGTATGTACACATGTACACATGTACACATGTACCGCTTTGCCTTATTCCTATATGCGTAGCTCTTTCTATGCCCGGGTGTCATGAAGCTGTGCTTCACATACCTAGGTAAAATGCATATGCTTAGTCATCCTGTCTTTTGACCTCGGGGAATTCTCGGCCTTGTCATTTTAGTTGAGTACATATAGTAGAGTTACACACCACTGAATGGTGCTATGGGTTGTCAGACTGCATATTTTTGTCATTATTCACAAGAGGACCTTGGATGGATGATGCGCACAAGTGGGTGACACAGCCCAAAACATTACTATGGGCGACGAAGTGTGCCACCAGATTACTGCCGATAAAAGATTACCTAGGGACTACTCGTTCCCATTTCATAGCTAAGGTCTTGTGTGCCGGGACGCTAGGACCCCGGGGGTGAACCCTACCAAAGTACTAGTTGTTATATAATTGTACCACCTGTACATGTACGCTGTACATCAACAAAATTGACACGTACCTATGCGAATGAAAAACAGATAAAAAGCAGTGAATTAATATTAGCCAATATGACCAAAGTCCCGTATGGCGTGTCGCCAGTAAATCGTAGTAAATGCGATATTTTAAAGCTCGATTCTTCAAGAACGATAGCTTGATAGACGATTCCGTGAAGACCTAGAACTGCTTAGAACATATATAGCTGTTTATAGGATTGAAGGAAAGTATAGAGCATCTTGTATACAAGATACCTATATATTGGTTGCTCATTGAGGCTCAGTTCTCCTACACTTCATAGTAGATTGTTACAACTTCTCACAGCGCTCAGCTTGCCCGCTTTTACTCTCTTTACCTAACGTGTCAGGACACCCCCGGGGAGAATTGTATGGTATTTATCTTTTCAAGGATCGAGCTCTGTGTTACTGAAGCGATAGCCGATCGTTCCTTATTCCTAGCTCTCCTGTATGCGGCGTTGGTAAGCAAATCGCACACTTGCCTATAGATAACTGCTGCCTGATCTACTTGTTTAGTCCTTCAAGAATCAGTCTGCTTTATATTGAATCTGCTGTATAATCCACACTAAGCTCATCCCTCATCTGAACGTCAGGTTTATCTACCCTGCCAAGTAACATACGCATCAATCGGATCCCCTTACGTGATATTCGTGATCAACAAGGAAACTACAAAGCAAAAATGAGTTCAATCTGTTCGAAGCGTTGCCTATTTCTAATTGGCTGATAGACCGTCATCCAGCTATATTAGCGCGAAACCTAATTTCCGACTGTGGGTACAAGGGTATGAACCGGAAATTTGGGAGATGTCAGGTATAAAAATCAGCATAAATTGGTAAGCTGACAGTCATATGATTTCCTGGTAAAATACCCTGTAAACACATGTATTCAAGTATTAGTCCCTAAATGTGGGGTACGAACCTGGAACGCCACTTCCTCACCTTCGCAATGACTCGAATTCTCAGCCCGCGAGCTGGGATATGGGCTCTGATTGTGCTCGTCATTGGCACTTTGTACAAAGCTTATGTGCACAACATCATTTTTCTCTCAATCGGCATTGGCCGAGAGATCCAATCAATTGATGATTTTCCATGGACCTGCACTCGCCTCCAGCATTCTCTCTTAGAAGGATGTGAGGATATGTGGTTAGACAACCAAGAACGAAAACTGTACGCAGCGTGCAATACTGTAGACTCCAGACAGGGATGGAGTCCCGGTGGTAGCAAACTCAACATCTCCGCGAGATCCCGCACGGATCATATTGCAGTGTTGAATATTGACCAAGCCGGCTCGGACGGGCTGTATGGCCTCCACAAGCTCAAAGTCGGCGGTTATCTCGGCGATCTGGATCTGCATGGATTCGACGAGCACAGTATTGAAGGCAGACTTCGATTCTGGTTGATCAACCATAGACCCCCAGTTGATCCTACAACAGGGGAGTTCCTTGATGCCCGAGCCGTCGGAGCGAACTCCACAATTGAGATATTTGATTTGGACGATGCCTCAGAGACACTTGAGCATGTCAAAACTATCGCCAGCGACGCGATAATCTCGCCTAACAACTTGGCCGTTGCCAAGGAAGGTCTGGGGATCGTGATCACCAACGACCGCAACGCTAAGGTTGGGACTTTCCCAGAGTTGGATATGTTGATTGGCGGAGGGAGTCTCACCTATTGTCACTCTGACACAGGAAAGTGCCATGTAGCTGCCAACAAAGGGTTTTCCTTTGCCAACGGGATCGTCCAAGAGAACGGGCTTTACTATGTGGCTCATTCAGTGACTGGAATCGTGACTGTCCACAAATTAGTTGGCGACCAGCTGATTCAAGTTGACAAAATCTCCACGGGATACCCAATAGATAATCTGTCGCTCGATGTAGATGGGAACCTCTTGGCTGCCGCATTTCCGGACTCCATTGCATTTGTGAAGTCTATGGAGGACCCATACAGGGTTGTTGCTCCTGCTACCGTTCTCGCTGTCAATGGAATAGCCACTCAGCTGAGAACTCGCAGCGGGAAGGATTGTGAGGTCTCGAAGCTTGCTGAAGACAGAAATGCCAAATGGCTTCCTAGTTCGACTGTTGTGGTGCAAGACGTGAAATCGCACCGGTTGTTCCTTGGAGGAGTCTTATCGCCATTCATCACCATATGCGAGCAGCATACTTAGTTTTAGTAATTTCTTGCTTGCTCTTTAGAGTGGTATGGTCGGGATGAGCGCTATTTTTGGCTTTGGGATCGCGACCCGAGGATTGGTCAGGGCATACACTGCTGACAATGCAGGGTCACTGTGGAGGGGTGGGGGAAGGTGTGGGGGAAGGTGTGGATTGATCTACGCTGTCAGTCCAGGTTCAAATATAGCAGTCAAACGAAAGTTTGTCCGATAACAGCTAGTTGAATAAATGTCAATACATACAGTCAAATCTAAAGTAGATGTCACCTTTCAGCGCTTATCTGATGGCTTATCTGCCTACCTGTGCTTATCTTTTTGATGTATGCAGCTGACCTATAATCTTCCCTTTCCCCGACTTTCCCCTCTTCTTTAGATCTTCCCTTTGCATTCCGACAAAAACTCACTTTACAGGCTTTTTGCCCTTGTCTCAGTTTCCTCTGGACGGTTCATATCAGTTCCTAGGAGTCGTGCAAGCAATGACCTCCAACACATCCTCAGACAATGCTACGTCTACTGCGGTAGATAAGGATGATCTGATAATACCTGTATGCTTTGTCTCAGGGTATTTCAAGCTACGACTAATCTAATCTGTTCTAGCTGATCGACTTCGGCCCATTCTTCACAGGGACCCCATCCGATAAACATGGAGTCGCTCTCGCCATAACAAAAGCCTTCAAAACATCCGGCTTCCTCTACCTGAAGGCACATGGCATTCCACCGTCCATTGTGTCCGGGGTATTTGCGTCATCTGCCCGGTTTTTCGCCCGCCCCCAGAGTGAGAAGGATTCGCTGGGCTGGACAACCCCACAGTCGAACCGTGGTTACGTCGCTATCGGGCGGGAGAAATTAACCACTGTCGAGGAGACAACTGGAGTCTCGACTTTGCGTGCATCCGTACCGGACATAAAGGAGACTATGGAACTTGGTCGTGAGGGAGTCGAGGGTCTGCCTAATCGCTGGCCCGATCACCTCGATGACGAAGGAAAACATTTCAAAGAAAACATGCAGTCATTCTTTGAAATGGGAAAGAACCTACATAAGCATATCATGCAGGCCATTGCATTGGGAATGAACTTGCCGGAACACTTCTTCGATGACTCTGTCAATGCCGGTGACAATACTCTCCGGCTGCTGCACTATCCTCCCGTTAGCAAAGAAGTCTTCAAAAATAACCCTAACCAAGTCCGTGCCGGCGAGCACAGCGACTACGGTTCCATCACTCTGCTTTTCCAGGATCGACACGGTGGGCTGCAAGTACGCAGCCCCAAAGGAACTTTCGTGGATGCGACTCCAATTGCCGATACCATTGTTGTCAATGCCGGAGATCTGCTTGCTCGATGGTCCAATGATACCATCAAGAGTACCCGTCATCGGGTAATTCAGCCGCCCGTGCCCGAGGGCTCTGAGAACGACACTTGGGATTATCCTGCTCGGTACAGCATAGCGTATTTCTGCAACCCCAACAGTGATAAACTTATTGAAGCAATCCCGGGAACATTTGGCGACGAAACCCAAGCAGAGAAGAAATACTCGGCGATTACTTCAGGCGATTACCTGGTCCAGCGATTGACAGCGACTTACTAAATACTCGGACTATGGATTTGAGATTGGCTCGATGAAGCTCATTTTCGTTTCCTTGTTTATTTGCCTTGCACTCATGATCGATTGAACATCCATGTCTGTGAATCAAGAAATCTACATATTTCTATCGTCGTTGAAGCTCAAATCTGTATAGTCCATGTATACTTAAACTGCACTTAGCCCAAACAAAACACCTCTCAGTAGACAGCTGGCGAAACAGAAATTCGGCCGCCATCAGTAACCAAGATATTACCATTGATATAACCACCCGAGTTACTAGCCAGCCAAACAATCAAACCTGCAATATCCTCCTCACTCCCACCACGAGTAGCAGGAATCATCTCCTTCGGGAATGAGCCATCAGAAATAGCCCGACCCTGAATACCCGAAGCCTGGAAGATATTACTGGCCATATCCGAGTAGTAAAGACCAGGCGAGATGCCATTGACCCGAATACCGTAATGAGCAAACGCAGTAGAAAGCAACTTAATGAGATGTGTCGTAGCAGCCTTGGAAGAGTTATACGCAAAGCTAAACGGCACCTTGCGAATAAACCCAGCAATTGAGCTAGTGATGATAACCTGTGCAGTCGGGGCAGCAAGAACATCCTCCTGCGGCGCAGGACGTCTCTTATTCGTCGCCTCAAGCAGAGGCAAGAATGCCAGCACCGTGTAATACGACCCAGTAACATTCACATTCATCACGTTGTTAAACTCTTCCATGGGAATATTGAAGAGTTCATCGCGAACTTGTGATAGAGGCGGGAGGGAGCCGTCTTGTGCAGGTTGCGGGGGTTTCATGGGCGGGCCTATTACGCCGCTGTTGGCGATTAGGAGGTCGACGTGTGTTGTTTGGACTGCGACGGCTTTGTAGGCTGCCTCGAGAGATTCCTTTGAGGTGATGTCGCATTGGATCGGGATGACGGTGCCGTTTATGGCTTGTGAGGCCGTTTCTTGGAGTGCGTCCTCGCGTCGGCCGAGGATGAAGATCTTGGAGACTTCGTTGGCGTCCAGGGCTTTTGTCATAATACGTCCGAGGCCTTGGTTCCTATTAGACTCTATGTACATTGTTTGTATCTTTGGGACGTGATGGTTTGGTTCTTACCACTTCCGCCTCCGGTGATCACAACAACCCGGTCTTTGACTGAGAATAGATTCGATGCTTTGAGATGGGTCATGGCTGTTGGATTGGTAATGTAAGGGGTTTGCATAAAGAGAAAGACAATTGAAAGTGATGTTTTCTATATCAATCCCCCCTGCGATGTCGTCATTCTGGAGCCCCCCCCCCCTTTCGATCGGCGACATTGCCGAGAATACATTATATCGGACCAACGCCGACTTTCTATTATCTTCGGCATATGGCCAGTGTGCCTTTTGGAATGCGTGGTTTTTGCGGACAGTTATACTGAATATTGAAATTGTCAGTACGATTGTACACACTTAGGGAAGATCCACATTTTCCCCCTTGAGTAGGGTATCCATGCCTACGTAGGCTTCCTATCCACAACAAGGAATTGTGATATCTCGATATTCTGATCCTTCGTAAATAAAAGCGGTGACGCAGACTGTCACTGGGCCCAGGCCACTTCAAATGCTTGCCTAAATGCCCAAGGCCAACTGTCTGCAGTCATATGTAGGTTTCATAGGTCACCCCAAAGCCACTTGGGCACATTAGCACAGTAATGCATAGACGTTGTTAACTTGATATAGGGCTGCTTATGATCTACGCAGATAGCCTCCATCGAAAAAGAAAAAAAAACATACAAGAAGTCGAGATATATGCTCCACTGTTTCCATAGGTCTATATTAGCCCACTTGCTTACATACACCTACAATATGCCTAGGGTAGTTAATTCAATTCATTTCCCGGTTTTTCATATCACTATCAGTCCGAGCAACTTTTTCGAGGCTTCTAGTCGATTACACGGACCTATGCAAGCCGTCTAACCTGCATGGTACAATGACTGCAGTATCTGCCCAATGCGGTTCTCTCTACATGGTTTATTGAATATTAGGGCTACTTCCAGCACAACGCACCCGGTAACTAGATAATGGTACCCCCAAGCCTACCTGTGTGATAGTGCTAAGCATATAACACGTAACTATATAAAGCCCCCATTGAATACGGAAGACTAGATGCGGGAACACTTGCCGATCCACTTTACACCGGATAGAGCTTGTGAGAGGTCATATTCCTACAAAGTCAAGGCTCTCCGTGATTCTAGACACGAGATTTGATAGTTTGATGTGATTTGCTCTTTCCCTGGCTTAACGAGTCCACTATTTTCAATTTAACCTTTCGGCAATCTCGTATATAACATAGACCTTGACAAACTGCATAAGTGCTGCCACACAACGAGCAAACGAGAACGAGCGGTGAAGAAACAAAGTTGAAGCTGTTGTGGAACATGCAGTTATGGTATGGCTGGATACACACGAAGATAGCGGTAAATGAGGCATCCCACGACTTGGCTACACAGTAAATCCCTCGTCTTTGCTTCTTCTGTACAGATTCGTAGATGTCACACAAAAGAAGCAAATTCTCCCTGAATCCTTTCCCCACTTCCTCTTTTTTACAGCTCTCACGGTTCCCTCAAAGTTCAGTAAGTACCTATTTCTAGAAAGATTGCCGACTTACCCACTGACCATCCAGTCATGCCTCAATGGATCGGATCCCTAACTAGTCAGAATGGCAATTCTCTGGCTGGTGTATTCGTGATTAATGGTGAGCCATGGGTATTCGAAAAGAATGCTCGAGGCCAACCAGCGGCTTCATTTCAACGGGCTCCTGCAGTCGTGAATATCCCTTGGAAGGAGCTCGGAAGTATCCGCCAGTCACTGCAAAGTTGTGAGCCTTTCACTGCGACTATTATGGGCTCTACTATGGAAATAGTTTGGTCTAATGGTGTGAGAATCACTGCAAATGTGCCCCATTGTGACACCTATGGCTACTTTTCGGGGGAGGGTGGCTGGCGGACGCAGTGAAGTCGGGTGCTTATAAGGTTCGGTTGATGGACTACTCGGACATTTTGCACTCTGATATTGCGGTTTCGGGACTATCTATATGGGAACGATTTACTCTCATTGAATTCCGTCCGCTGCGCAATTCTATTTCTACTCGACCACGTTTCATTCTCATATATTTAATATGCTGATAATTTACCTGAGTTTCGTATAGCCTTTCCCCTTGTTCCTTGAAAAAGCCATCCGGCAGCGTCCGGCCGGATTCGATTTCCACCCCCACAGATATCTCAGACTGTACTTAGTCTGTTCAGGTCCATGGGATGTTGACAGGGGAAGCTTACTCCGACGTCATCTGTTGCCGAAGCATCCCGGGGTTGTTGTCTAAGAGCGAATTGCAGTGTCTTGCAACTATTCAATCAGCCAAGTGTACAGAGAAAGTCCCTCCGAGAAGAATAAATTGCCATTAAAATTACACCAAAGAACCTTAACATTACTATGTGGCAATTTCACCACTCGGAATTCATCCCCGTTCAAAGCCACCCACATTTTAGACCTGAAGATGGTGTCTTCACCATTGTGCGATTTTCTTACATCAAAAACAAGGACCCCAGACCTTAGATTGCCTTGGCTAGTGTTCATTCATATGCTGATATTGGCTGAACACTATATGTACTCTACGCAAGGTCCGTACCCATCCGGCGGCTTTTGTACACCTCAACTAACCCAATGCTTTGAAGACCAGCGATAGGACACATTTCCCTGCCTTGAATTGAATTCCAACCTTCAGTAGAGACGATGTGGAAGAGTGTCATTATATTGGGCCTATTGAGCTCACTGCCTTTCACGGCTGCTTCTCCAAGGAAACACCAACAAGATCCAAAAACAACCCTTGACCCGCCACTGCCCTCCGCAAATTTATCGGCTTCAGCGCCGCCACTTCGAACTTACAATAGCTCCAGACTGTATACACCTTTTACTAGAACTCCGACGACCACAGGTGCGCTGACAGCCTCTTCAATCGGGACGGGCATCTCTCGCGGAGGCGTTGCAGCCGCAGCGACAACATATCCCGGTGATGGAAATCTTCATCATTCCGAGCCTGCTCCATATGTTCCAGCAGGTGGGGTCGGGACCAACGGAAGCACGCCTGTCTACAATACGAAGAGCGATTTCGACTACGAGTCTTTAGTATGCATCCGCACTAAATCTAGATGGCAGTGTTGTGGCTCAGCAGCTAACCTACAATCTACAGGCCCTTGCTCTATACCAAGAATGGATTGAGCTTGATCTATTCCAAGACGGACTCCGTCGGTTCAATGATTCAGCCTTCCGAGCCGCCGGATTGACCGCTTCAGACCGCGAGTTGATCGCATTCATGGCGCAGCAAGAGATAGGTCATGCCACTATGCTCAGCAACATCCTCGGAGCCCGTGCACCACAGCAATGCAACTATATCTACCCGTACAGGAATGTCAAGGAGTTTGTCGACTTCTGTCAGAAACTCACTCGCTGGGGCGAAGCTGGCGTGTATGGGTTTCTGGCTCATCTTGACTCGCGTGAGGCGGCCACTCTCTTGACTCAGTCTATCACGACTGAAGCACGCCAGCAACTGATCTTCCGTCAGTTCGAGGGTCTCTTCCCGATGGTTGAGTGGTTTGAAGTTGGTATCCCGCAGTCCTGGGCTTGGACGCTGCTGGCACCTTTCATCAGCTCTTGTCCTGAAAATCAGACTCGTTTGATTTGGCAAAATTTCCCGACGTTGATGGTGGTCAATCAGCCTGATCCGTGGACCTCAGGGACTGCTCTCAACTTTTCCTCGGGTGATACCAGAATAAACGGGCATGATTCTTTCGGATACGATTCTACTGGGTATGATCCTACTGCGTACATTTCTAAGGGGAATAATTCCACTGGGCACAATTACAGAGGGTCCAATTCTACTGGGTTCAATTCTACTAGGTACAATTTTACCACAAGTGCCGATCAAATCTCAAGGCTCAACATGACTTCTGGGTTCAATCAGAGTGCAGGATTCATCTTCAATGAGACCACCGGAATCAACAACACTATCGGACCAGGCGTCAGCATCCCCAAGTCACCCAAAGGCTCCGGGAGATTCAACTCGTCTATTCCAGCTAACGACTGTGGCACCTCTGTTAGCAAAATTCGCCCAATACCTCTCACGGCTTCAGGTCGCCTGGTACTGTTGCAGTGGGATCTTCCTGGGAAGAAAGTCGGCCCCAACAACAGCTACATCACCACAACGGAGGTAAAAGCTGGTAGTGCACAGCATGTCCTTTGGGTATCGCAACTGAACATTACCTACACCCCTCTGTATGTTGTTAGCGGCACCAATGGTACCACCACCAATGGCAGCAACAGTACCAACAGTACCGCTGATACCATTCGAGGATATACTACCCAGCCCGACTTGGAGACGTACCAAGGTAACCCGGCTTTCAACGGTACCATTTTTATTGCTATCACAGACAGCGCTCCATCTGTGAGCCCGTTCAATCTGAGCTTGATTAACCCGCATGTGGTTGCCGGTCCAGCTTTGTACCAGGCTGGTTGAATGAGTGATCCGTGTATTTACCGAGTGTGTGTCAAAGAGTGCAGAGAATTAGCAAGAATGAATTTATAAAAGTTTGTTTTCATATTACTACCTCAAACCGAGAAACATACATATAAATCAAAATATTAGACCTGGGAGCCAACTGACGATCACCTTAACCCCGGTGGATGGAGCTTATCGCCGAGGCCTCAACCTCATTTCTCCACGTCAGTGTTTGTTAACTTTTTTTGCCCGCCACTCATCGTCCCTCTACAACAACGCATCTGAACGATATGGAGACCCCCAGGAATCGCAAACAGCGCCGTGCAGCAGCTGGATCCTCCACTAAAAAAGATGAACCCGAAATCGCCATGGCCCATCCCCAACGAGATGATCCGACGAAAAAGAGAGCAACCGTCGAGCGCACACTTTATGACATCATCGCAGAGCGACAAAGCGGACTGCATCAAAAGAAGGGAGCAATTCCAGCTTCAGTTGAAGCACAGGGCATACCGTCACAGTCAGGGGGAACGCGGTTCGTGACGGTCGACGCGTCTGGGGAATTGGTCGACACCGACGGCGACATCAGCAGTCATCTCTCAAATCCCTCGCAAAAGAATACCAAGAATACTCAAAAGAGTACAAATGGTACCACTGTCAAGAAAGCCGACTCTGAATCCGAACCCGACAAACCCCTCCCGCCATTCCTCGACACAATCCTCCTTTCCCTGCCTCTCACAACCCTCCACCTCACCCTGAGCTACCTCGCAGCACACCAATACGCCGAAACAATCGACCTGGCAAAACTCTTTAAAGAATCCGTGACAACCGCGTTCCCTCTCCTTACTTTATTCGTCCACCTAGCACACGGTCATGTCATCTCCTTCAAAAAGCGCAATTCAAAAGCAGAGCCTGCTCCTCTTCATTTGTTCCCATTGACAAACGACAAATTGACCTTTTCATTCCTAAGAAGGCTTGTTTTTCCGCCTGCGCTAAAGACTCTGGTTTTTCTCCCTCTTTCTGCGTTGTTGGGCGCACATCTTATCGCTATCACGAATGGAGAGCCGTATTATGCGGTTATGAAGAAGGCGCCTGCTGTTGGGACTATTTGGATATGGTGTATTCTTGAGTTGTCATTTGGTGCGGCTGTCCTTGGGGCGTTGGGACCTTTGGTTTGGGGGGTTTGGTGGATGGGGTATGGGATCATTTGAGACTGGGGATGGAGGGTATGCATTTACCATTAAGAATGGTTTGGGGGGATAGGAATTGCATTGGGGAGGAATTTCGATCGCTTTGATGAGGATTGGGAATGAAATCTCAAGATAGGTCTATCAATCCATCATAATCTGTAAAATAACAAAACATATATATCAAGGCACCCGACCTTGAAACATCAAATCACATCCAACGCAAACACACCGAAATAACTACGGCAGAGACATAGCACAATGGCAAAAGAATTGACAACGCCCTTTGTCCAAATCAAATCAAATAAAATAAATCAATTGATATCAAATAAGTTGTCAATTCACCAGCTCATCCGAAGAGCAGTAAACTCCCCTACAGATATTCCCACCAAATCCAAATATCCGAACGCCACCATGATCCCCTTCTTTACAACTCACCTGTCATTACGACCCTTGGACAAGAAATCATCAACACTACTTTCGGTCTACGAAGACTCGAATTAATTGTCATTATCCTTGCATAACGTCGTCGCGCTGGCAGTCCTCTAGCCTTGGCGTTCATCTTCATCAGACCCTTCCTCACCGACTGGGATGGCCATAACATTCAGTGGGGCCTGTTCGTAAAGGCACATCCAGGCCAACTACACACCTTGATCCAGACAGATATCGACACGTATACAAGCGGTTGTGCCCAGGAAAGACAGGGTTATCCCCAGGAAAGGCAGCAACACTTCGTATTTCCTGTTTATGTGCTCAGCTCGGATCCTGGTGAGAGGAATTGAGAATTCTATAGATATATTACTAGAACTACTAGTCATCTTCGAAGACTGATTGAGGAGCTTGTCGGGTTATCTTTGAAGCGAGAGTGGTTTTGACGTGTTCTAGATGCATGGGCAGGACGAAATCAGTCAATTTTAATTTCTGCCTGGAATTTGATTTTTCTCGGTACTTTGTGCACTTTGGGTACTTTAGGTACTTTGTTCTCGACGATCATGTTGAGAGCGTGGATTTGACATGTCGTAGATATTAGGGCCGAGCTTCTCCAATGCACAGGTCAAGCTCAACAAATGCAAATGCACCCACCCGACTAAAAAAAAAAAAAAAATATTGTAATTCCTCTGCAGAGTAAACCGGCCCCGTGACTCGGAAAATATTTACATTGTGTTAACTTGACACATTTTCGCATTTCTCGATGACATGTTCCTCTGAGTCACATGTATCAGTTTCCCAGGGGGTTGGGAATCCTCAGAATCCTTGTCTTCGCCTCATGCAAGGTGCGATATGATATTTCTCCTTATACCCAAATAAGGGCAAGACATAACCCCCGAGAAAAGCAAGGACAATGGCCTAAATATGGCAAAACCCGTAGACCTGGTACAAAAAACCTGACGTGCAAGACCTGACGTGCCAAAGTCCCATCGGGCCGATATAACATCCCGAACTTTATCAAAGCAGACCCGACAATAGCGGCCCGCGGGATGATGTCCGGCCGCTCCGGAAATAGCAATAGGAAGCGAAATAAACAAAAGCCAGGCCAACTGGAACAGGACCCGCTGAACGGAGTACTCCGTACCTTGAATATTGAAAATAGTGTAGTTGCCTATATAATTTTCTTTTTTAAGAACTTTAAACAAAAACCGGACCAACACCAAGACAGTTAATGCAACCTAATCTGGCCATCAATAATTAACCTATTTAGCTCCGTCGATCCCCGCTCCAGTACCAGGGATTGCCCCTTGCAGGGAACCTTGGGAATAGAACGTCTACGGTTCCAAGGTTCCAAGGTTCCAAGGTTCGACCCGGCAGCCTGCATATATTGGCGCGGATGCACTTCGTGGGATTTTCCATCGGTCTCGGATTCGGATTCCGTACGACCCAGCCCCACGTACTTTTTACATTGGGACCTCGCATGTGCATGATGCGAACTGGATCGACGTGGGGCCGTGAAAATATATTTTAATTTTAATTTTGCTTTTTGTATTTTTGTCTGTGTTATACATCATATTTCTTCCGAGCAGCGGGTTTTACGGATGCAAGCCGAGATCCGAGATCGAGAACCGAGGCCTTGGGCTGGGACAGGGAAGTGGGACTGGAAATGCGGTGTGGGATGTTCTAGAGGTCTCACTGCATGATGCAGAGGTCGTGGTTCGGAGGTTGGGGACCAGTAGATGAGTCTAGGTTGTTTAGTTTGACAACTTGATATGTATACTAGATTTGATAGCTGTGAACGTGGATTTGGTGTTATTTACAATTTTCAAATGCAAATAAAGTAGTGCTATGCAGAAAATTTATCTAAGTAATGCTGGCGTGAATAAATAATAAAAAAAAAGCCATTAAATTTGGAAACTATCGTGAGAATATTCAATCTAAGTCATGCGAATAAAGATGAGAGCCACCCGAAAAGGAAAAAAAGAAAAAGAAATGCAAAAACCGCAAATGTCCGACAACGCCATGTTCTAATCTAAACGTCGTCCCCTGTGCCATTCACCGCACCACTTCACCGCTGAATGAGTGGGATACAACTCATATGCGATGTAAATAGTGCAAAGGTACCGCGCCCCACTTTCTTAATTTAGACTGCAACCCGTCCTTCAGGGATGAGTCCAACATGCGACATCTCGGCCGCGGCGGGTAGTCCACGTCGAGCCGCGGTGGCTGCAGTCGACCCGTCACCATCGAATCGGGATAGAAGGGACGCCACCATCTCACGATAGGAGTTCATCTGCGACAGTTTGAAGCGCTGGATCTTTCCACTTGCAGTGCGCGGGATATCTTCCACGAATATGACACCTCCATCGAGAGATTTGTATCTAGCCAGTTGCTGTCGTGCGTAGTTGTAAACTTGCTCGCCGGTTACGCGGCGAACGGATGGGTCGCGAGACCGAACGACGAAGGCGCGTGGGACCTCGCCCACACCATCTTTGTTCACGCCGATCACGGCGGCATCAAGAATTCCCGGGTGTTGGAGGAGGATACTTTCGACTTCAGCTGGGGCTACTTGCCATCTGTCGAATGATTAGTATGTTTGTTGGGTTGATGAGGAAAATGAGGCTTGATGATGAACTTACCCTCGTACTTTGATAAGCTCTTTTGTCCGTCCGACAATGTAATATTGGCCCTGCTTGGCGTACGCCACATCTCCTGTTCGGAACCATCCATGCGGCTCCAATGCGTCCGTGCGGCCTTTGTATGCACTGAGCAGACCCGGTCCACGGACGTACAATTCACCAGAGCAGCAATCGCCCTGCACGATTTTGCCATCGGCGTCCACCAGGCGGGCCTCGTACCCGGGAATACAGGTACCGATACTTCCAGGGTCGCCCTGCTGGCCCCAGCGAGTTTGGAATGTCACACCGACCTCAGTCATCCCCCAGATCTGGCAAGCGTATCCCATAGGGTTGATATGGCTGCGGAACTGCTGCATCGAGTGACCATCAATAGGAGCACCCGCAACACCAACATAGCGCAGCGAAGACAACATATCACCGATGGGTACAGATGACTGGTTGATAGAGTGAATGATAGCAGGGACAAGGTAAGTCTCTGAGATCTGGTACTTGTGGACAGCCGCCAAGAACTCATTGATCTCGAAGCGCGGCATGACAAACAGCGGATGTCCATAGCGAACAGGGAACAAATGTGTCCAAAGGGCACCAAACAGATGGAACATGGGCAGCGAGATGAGTCGACTGACTGGATGCGGCACATCGTAGTAAATGGTGCGGTGCTGTGAGACAAGCGCATAGTGGGACAGGATTGCCGCTTTGGGAAGTCCACCTGTACCGCTGGTCGGGTACATGGCTGCAGGCGTGGCTTGTGCGACGACAGGGTCGGTGAATTTTAGCCAGTCACTTTCGCCGTAGCAGAGCAAATTTGCGAAATTGTTGTGACGCGCGTCGCCATTCATTGCGCAGAATTGTCCTGCCGATGAATATCCTAGTTCGTACCACAGGAATAGTTGTGCACAGTGGTCGATGGCTCGCTCGTCCACGAGGCAGACCTGTGCTGGGTGGATGCCCCGGGCTGTCGAGACGTCGAGGACGGAGGGGAGGGCATCGCGAGTTGTGAGGATCAATTTGGGCTCGGCGAGGCTGAGGATGTGGTCGAGTTCTTGGGGGTGGCTGCGGGGGTTTGATCCCATGTAGACACCGCCGGCGCCAATTATACCGAAGAACAGTGCGGGATATAGTATCTGTTGCATATGACAGGCCTGAGTCAGCGATAATTCTTTATTTTCCGAGAACAATCATAATCCAATGTTGGATTTTTGATTTGATTGTTTCTTTTTTTTTTTTTTTTTTTGTAAATTTTTTTTCTTTCACTCACGCTATTTCCCAAGTGTAGCAATACACAATCTCCTGGCTGGACATTGTGGGCTTTCAAACCAGCGATCAAAGTTCGAACTAGTTGTCGGAATTGAACACCTGTAAATGATCGAGAAGGATCCTCTGCATCAATAAACAGGGGTTGATTTTGGTTGTAAGGCTTTGGGCCATCAAATGTGAAACTCAGCAAGTCAGAGTAGACCTCCTGGGAGAGCATATTGTTCGAAGACATAGTTGTGTTCCAACCCATAGTGTGAGAAATGTAGAAGGAGAGAAGGGTGAGAAGGGTGAGAAGGATAAGAAGGATAAGCGTAATATATTTGAATACGAAAGCATAGAACAGTGAAGTTCGGGGGGGTTATATAGGTAAAATGTATATTCCATTTTGTCCCTTTGATTTGATTTTACCTTGACATGCCCCCCGGGGCCGTGTTCCACCCGTTCCAGGATTTGGAATACATGCTTATATAATGCCACTAGTGCTGCATTGGGAGTAAGGTGGAATCTTCATACTATACTATACTACAATCTAGGATAGAAATCAATAAAAATCAAGAAATAAAATCAATAGACACACAAAGAGCTGAAAATCCGAACTCAATCTTCTAAAGGTTAAAAAAAAAAAAAAAAAAAAAAGACCCAGGACTATGTCATAGAATGGGATCACAACACTATGGGAGTGTGTGTCCACCAAACTAA